TTCTGTTGACTATTTTTTGAACAGTTTCTTTTTTGATAAAACAAGTTTAACATTGATGTGCATTCGTAATAAAGTCATGAGATTTTCTGACGTACAAAACAGTCCATAGTAAATATATTGTTTTTATCAGTACGTATATAATTATCCATACACTAGTATCTCTATGACTATATAAATAACAGAGAATCAATATTTTTTTTCCCCGAAATTTCCTATTTTGTTGTCTACATCTGATTCTGACCTCCTTTCTTTAAAAAAATCCTTTCTAATACATGTTCTAATCACTTAAAACTACACATGTACGTACAATGTACGAGTGCGTTTTCATTTTGAAGAAACTTTGAATAAAAAAGATTTTAAACTTACAGAACCTTTTGTAGAAAATGGAGTGAAAGTGATAGTCTTTGTATTTAAAAGTTTTTCTTTCAAAAATGTTTTGAACTTAGTTTCATTCCACATTTTCTCGACCAAAAAAATTATCTTACTTACATTGTTAGAACATATTTATTCTAACCTGTACGCCTTCTTCATGTCTCCGGCTCCTTGAACCGCCTGTTTTGTGAAGTCAGCCGCAGCTTTCGCCTTCTCTTTGGCCTTTTGGAATGTCTCTTTAGCGCTATTAAAACCAGCTTTTACTGCCGAACTGAACCTTTCTCCCACACCTGGTTTACTTGGTCCGCTTCTCGGTTTACTCCCTCTCGTACTTGGTTTACTCCCTCCTCTACTCGGTTTATTCCCTCCACTACTCGGTTTACTCCCTCCATTACTCGATTTACTCCCTCCACTACTCGATTTACTCTCTCGACTACCTCCCCACCAACCTTCTACGACAGAAAGCTCTGTCAAAATGACGGCCAACAAAAGCACTGCCATGGTTTTTGTCCTCATTATGAATCTGTAAAAAAAAAATGCATTTATCAGATCAAAATACAATAGGTTATTCTGAGTCGTTCAGAACCCTCCATTCCATTTGGTGTAACCTCCTCCCCCACCCTCAGTTTCCCTTATTCCCTTTTTTTCTACATATATAAATTCTACTTGTAGTAATAAAAAATTGCAGCAAAATTAATTTAAAAAAAAGAATTCACAGGCATAAATTTAAAATAAACATAATTTGATATCAAAATGCATATCTCGTATAATTGTACATACAAATCAAGCCAGCATACTTACATTCAAAATAATTTTCTCAGAATGACTTTAAAACCATGTGCATCGGCTTCTATATTCAGCTGATTACAAAACATTTTGATGTACAAGGCAATTATACTTAACGTTTGTTTTCCGCGATATTTTATTTTTGCGTAATTATGATAAATTCAAGGGAAAATTGATTGCTAAATAGGGCCATATACAGTTAAATTAATTACATAATGCCTGCAACCCAAGTAACAGGTTTCAAATAAGAGAATATTTTGGAAAAAATGCTTAGCGCATGCATAAATGAAAATAGAATCTATTAGTTAGGGAAGTTCAAATTAACACTTTTTCAAATATTTGTACATGTACCGATCTTCAAATAATTAAACCTATTTTTAATATTTCTTTATTTTTTGATGTTTTATGTTGCTTATAAATTTTGTAAGCTCAGACAACATAGTACTAATTTTAGAGCCTCAGTCCACGAACTTTTTGATAACCCCTCGTATCTTTAAATAATTGAGCTTATCTTCAAATCAATTTGTATAATTGAACCTAGGTTCAAATGAATTAGACCTATCTGGTATAGGTTCAATTACAGATAAATTCAATTGAATTATACATGCTACATGTAGTTAGTATCTTTGATTCATTTGAAGATATGTACAGTTGATTTACAGACAGCTACAATTCATACATCTTCACAATGGATTTGAAGATATGCATAAATTATAACAATATATTGAAAATACTTCTCATACAATGTATAATCTCTTCTACAAAATAAAAATCGATTGCACAAATCTAAATATCAATCTAAAATATGTGTTTTAAAGGGGCCAAAATTAACTAATCGTAATATTATATACTAGTAGTCCTTTGACTTTTCTTATTTCTTGCTAAGGTTTGTAAAATGTCGAATTTTTAAGTTATCTTGTGATAAAACTCTAATTACAAAAATCAATAAATAAATTGAGATGAATACTATAATATTTTCTGTATTTTATACAACCAATAAACATATACTTGTATTCGTTTGTTCGTTCAGGAAATGTTAATTAAACCCAACCAGGGACATATCAACATATTACGGATTGAAATGCACTGTACATGTACGTTAAGAACAACAGATGGGTTGCTTCAGTTTTATATAACAATTCGGTCAAACAAGGTTCTCATAAACTTTCAGCTTAAAGAGGTTCGGCCGCAAATTTTCATGGTTGCAACAGTGGCTTAATGATACAAATGCTTAAATTATTTCAAAAACCTTTGCCGTCTTTAGCAACAACCTAAACAGTAAAATCACGTACAACTATCAGGCTGTATAATTCTTGATTTTTTTTATTTCCTCATTAGCTTTTCACTGATATCAGTACTTTATCATGTGAAACAACGTTAAAACCGACGCTCGGCTGTCTCCGAAACCCCGACTCAGCTGTCAAGATGAGAAAGACAGTACAAATTAATGGAAAAAAAGAATAAATACAAGCTGTAAAGTTAACATACTAAAAGATCATTTGAATAAGACCGTATAAACCGAGGTCACATGTCGCAGTAGGTGCTGGCACGAAAAAGATCCCTCCCTGTTTTATGGCCCTTAATGCCGAGCTAGGACAAAAGAACTATATGCCGTATATTGCACATCTTTGCCCCCCAAAAAGTCAAATTTTGAAAAATTATTGAAATGTGATGAATTCTATAAATTGTATGAGAAATATGAATTAACAAAACATAATATAGTTTCAAAGAAGTTTATTGACAAGTTTATTGACAAATATTTACATTCAGTGTAATTTTCCTTACGAAATCCATTAGAAATACACGACGTTCAAATTTCTATAACACAAGCGAAACCTTGTCACCGCGCGTTAGAATACACAGTAGGAACTACATGCATTTTCAATACTCTAGGAACACCAAAATGTAAAATGTTTTATTTCAATTTAATGAAATTGGGGGGTATAATAAAGAGAGAGGTTATGCATATTTTCACCAAGAGATTTATTTGAAATTCAAATTACTTTTTACAATATCTTATAAAAACATGCGCTGCCCATAGACTTCAATGTAAAATTCAATGTGAAATTAATTAGACAATAATCAAAATTTTGCAAATTCCTTTGGTGGAGTATTTTTATTTGAAAACATCTTTAAAATGCTACCATGATAAAAAATATCGGACAAGCCATTTATTAAGTACAATATATGGTCGTTATACATTGAATACCTTAAGTTCATGACACGCGGAATATTTTTTTTTGGTTGTTGAATTTTGACACTCCCAAAGAAAATTACGTCATCAGACATGCGACAAGTTGCTTACATCATAGATGCCTCGTAGTATTGGTTATATCGTTTGCATGGGGCGTGGAAATCTCGGGGGCTCCGCGCCCTCGATTTCCACGCCCCATGAAAACGATATAATCAATACTACTCGGCTTCTATGATGTAACCTATACTTTTTGTTTTATGACGTCACAAACTTGTCCGATTTTATATCATTTTTTAGAAAGAGGACTAAATATGGACAAATTTCAACGATTTTAGCTTTAAAAATTATAGAGAGCAAGTTTGCTCAGGAACAATATTTGCTTGTCGCATATCTGCGGTGATTTCCTTTGATCTTTGTGTGGTGATATATCCCATATCACTTATGCGATAATACTTTCCACGCCCCTTCATATATCACTGCAGGAGGCAGAAATCAGGTCATGAGAAAAAAAAAACTAATTTTATTTCACAAGTTCATAACTACAGAAAAATGAAGATGTTAAGTTATTTCTTAGCCTTTAACTAAATTAAAACACATGTATTTAACTCGGTTGAAAGTTCCCAGTCGTTCAGAAGATTAATCCATTTTGAAATTTTGAAAGTTACGGAAAAATCTCCAAACTTTATATCGTTAAACTCCTTGATATTTGCTTCTGTGATTTCACATTTGTCGAGTGCTAACCTCAAAAATAAATTGTCAAAATCTTCAAACTCAGTTAAAAAGTCAAAGACAAATTCACTAAGAACGTCCGACATGTTGGAGAGCTAGCTTGAAATGAATTTTAAGTTTATGACTCTGAATATTTTTTTTTAATTTTGACACTCTCAATGACATTTACGTCATCAGACATGCGACAAGTTGCTTACATCATAGATGCCTCGTACTATTGGTTATATCGTTTTCATTTCCACGCCCCATGAAAACGACATAATCAATACTACTCGGCTTCTATGATGTAACCTATACATATTTCATTGATATTATCATTCTACGATTTATATCAAAATATGAAGCCTGATCAGACCTGCGCTCGGTGACTCAAATACCGACGTAATATGTATACATTTTTCTGTAGAAATCAAGGAAATTTTAAATTTACGTCATGTTCGTGACGTCATTTCAAAAATATGACGTCATTGCTTATGAAAATATTCAGTGCTTTGAAGTCAGCATATATCCCCGTGTTCAAGAACATAATTAGATATTTCTCCGTCAAAGTTTGATTTGGGGGGAAAATATTGGTTATTACCGAATAAAGTTCTTTGCATTTCTCCACCGACAAGTGGTGGTGTTCTCCATATGAGTGCGTCTCCATATCCATGAGTGAAAAATTGTCGATAAGGACGTTAAACAATTGTCCCTATACAATCAATCAATCAATCAATCAATCAATCAAATATCCAATTTTTAGTAGGGGCGAAATCAAAGAATATCGTTCGATAATCATAAGATCCACACTGTTTGAAGCATTTTCATGTGAGAAGATTACAACTTTATATACTTTTCAAAAAGTGCGATACTCATATTCAGACATACAAATATAGATACAGTACTGTAAATAATAACTCTAAAAGGCTTATGAAATTCGTGAAATAATAAAGTTTTTAATATTTTAAAAGTACTGAAATTTTTTGATTCAACTATGAGAACAGGTCAATTAAATATGCTTTTGTTGATTCTTTGTCCATGTTTCAGTATCTGTCTGGTAGACCAACAGGGCGGTATCTGTTTGGATCCCCACCATTTCGACCCCAGATATTAGCTGCCTGATCTCTAGCGGTGTCTTCTGGTCCCTGACCACTCAATCCGCTCTGATAACTCTCTCTGGCATTACTAGAAAGAAAGATAAGCATTCATTTTAACACCAAAAAGACGCATTGCAAAACAAGAGTAAGAAATACATAGGAAAAACGTTTTTAATTTGGCCGTGTTGGCCGTCATCTCAATGATTCAAAGATTTTCAACGGAATTTTGCACAACTATATACCTTATAACTCTTGCTGCCCAGCGACCCCCAGGTCCTCTTCTGGCGGCGTCATAGTTACCACGGGCATGGAAGTACTGATCAGAATTGCGCCAGTTCGCTTGTCTCATATCTCTGAAAAAAGCAAAGGCGCTTAGTTCAAGGATTATGTATTTATTTATTTTTTGCTCAGTGTTAATTTTTAGTTTTTGTTAGCATTTTTGCTTTGATATAAACCAGAACGTCACGGAAATTTGATTTCATTTTTTTAAAATGACATATCCCACTGTATATATATTCTTTTAGTATACAGTGGGATGTGTCATTTTTTAAAACGTGCTAAATAATAATATAAATTACGATTCAAATTGCAAAATTGGACAAATAAGACATATATACGTAGTTTAGAGAATTTATGAACATTGGTTTGGACATGTTGCTTTCTCCATGAACTTCTCTCGTTTTGAATATTCGAATACATTTATTATACCCCCCGCTTGAAAAGTGGGAGGGTGTATAGTAATCGGGATTTCCGTCCGTCCGTCCGTCTGTTACGATTTATCTCTTATCCGCAACTCCTCTTATACTACTGAGTGAAATTTAATGAAACTTTCACAGAATCTTTATTACATATTGCCATTGTGCACCTCCTATTTTACTTTTTTTTTTCTCGACACGTATTTTAGGTTTCCCATAGCAAAACATGGACATTGCCATTATATGTTTACCTTTGACGTCACATATAGATCTAAACTTCTGGATAACATTTGATAGGACGAGTTATTCCTCTTTACACATTACCGTAAAACAATATATAGCAACACATGGACATTATGGGAGGCGGGGGGTATCATTTAGTGAGCTCATTGCTCACAGTACCTCTAGTTTTATTTAGGGGAAACTTTTGTACAGGTGTTATTGGCTACCCATTGCTAAAACTATATACTGATATTTCAAAATTTCCATTATTCTAGCAGGCACTCTTGGCCGGAGATGGTGAGTAGGTGTAGGTCTTATGTTCCAGGATCACATAAAATGTATTTCGATAAAAAGAGCACGATTACACTATCCTTATGCTCCCTATATTCCTCAAGTTCTTAATAAAGAAGACACAAAAACACTCACCTGTAAGCTCGGTACATATCTCTGGTTCCTTGAGCAGCCTGTCCAGCGAAATTTATCCTGTTTCGGAGTCTGTCTAGAAATTCTTGAGCTAAAGTTTGCTCAGTCAAGATAAGTGATACTAAAATCACTGCAACTGCAATGTTCCTCATCATGAAACTGAAAGGAAAGATAAATTAATTTTTTTTCCAAAACATAATTTACACGTAGTTTAAATTGTTCTTCTTGGAGCGGTATTTAAGCTTCGAATTTTATTTGAGAATAGTGCACTCTGACGTGAACAGTAATAATTTCTCGATTTACACTTCAAATTGAACAGGTATAGAGCGATGGACTTTGTTATAGGAATAGTGTTTCTATAATAAAAAGATAAATATTTAAAAACTGTTATCTTAAAAAGCTATATATTAAAGCATGAAACTACTTACTGCTTCGGTTTACTGACAATAACAATGTAGAATAAGTACTTTGTACCTTAATTTATATGATACTGATGACCTCATTAGAGATTTTTCAAAAACTAATTAACTACCTATTTGTAGTTCGGGGTCAGGATCCAATAAGGAAGAACACGATATCATCTGACTTTATGTAGTGCTTACTAGCCAATCATACAAAAGTAATAATGGCGTGGAAGCAAAATGCTTGTCCCATTCGGTGGGTTTGTTCCCGTTTTGCACACATTTGGTAATTAGATATAGAGCAATAGACGTGAAGTGTGTTTTGATAGCAATTATAGTCTGATTTCTGGTTTGGATTTACCTGTGAATACCTGATTTAGCTTTATGTATTCTTAAGAGGTTTAATACAATTTTATAAGCATTTTATTAAAATTCTATATATATTTATGCGAAAATATTTGATTTTATTGATTAAATTATTAATATTTGTTTGATATTATTGATTAATTTGGTCCAATTTCTTAAAAAAGAAAACTTTTCAATCTTGATAAAATTCTAAATGAATTAAAGATATAACATATAATAAAGAAAATAGTGAATAAAAATTAATTTGAAAATAATGCCCAAGCCAAGAAGATGTTAAAATCATCAGATAATTAAATACATTAACTTTGTATTTATTCTCTTATTTTTTCCCTATAAGTTCACCTTTCACATACTTACTAAGTATGGTATAGATTATAGCAATTAAGTACATGTATAATTCTCTCACCTGGTCGAATTCCCGTTTTTCACACATTTTAAACCTCTCATTCAAGTAAAGGTGGTTTTAATTATATATTTATGACAAACTTATGTGATGAAAAGGGCTAATAGTAAATTAATTACTGAAATTTTATTCACTGCATCTTCGTTTTATTCTTTTTCGTTAACATTTACATGTATTTGTTTAATAAATCATCATAGAATCAAAATCTATAAATTTGGCCGGAGATTCTGGGGTAATGGTTTTTGGTCTGTCCTCAAAAACTTTAAACTTGCCTATAACATTTGAACGATTGTTAGTAAGGTTTTACTTATTTCAAATGTGTATTAATTTTAGGCATCTTGATCTTGATCCTCACCTGCATGATAAATTTTCTTTTTAGCTCACCTGAGCCGAAGGCTCAAGTGAGCTTTTCTGATCACAATTTGTCCGTCGTCTGTCCGGCCGTCTGTCTGTCCGTCTGTAAACTTTTCACATTTTCGACTTCTTCTCAAGAACCACGGGACCAATTTGGACCAAACTTGGTACAAAGCATCCTTGAGTAAAGGGGAATTCAATTTGATAAAATAAAGTGCCAAGTCCCAGCACAAGGGGAGATAATCAAGAAAAGACAAAAATAGGGTGGGGTCATTAAAAAATCTTCTTCTCAAGAACCACTGGGCCAGAAAAGCTGAAACTTATGTGGAAGCATTCTGGGGTAGTGTAGATTCTAAATTGTTCAAATCATGACCCCCGGGGGAAGGGCGGGGCAACAATGGGGAATCAAATTTTTACATAGAAATATATAGGAAAAATCTTTGAAAATCTCCTTCTCAAGAACCACTGGGCCAGAAAAGCTGAAACTTATGTGGAAGCATTCTGGGGTAGTGTAGATTCTAAATTGTTCAAATCATGACCCCCGGGGGAAGGGCGGGGCAACAATGGGGAATCAAAGTTTTACATAGAATTATATATGAAAAATCTTTGAAAATCTCCTTCTCAAGAACCACTGGGCCAGAAAAGCTGAACCTTATGTGCACATGGAAGGATCCTGGGGTAGTGTAGGTTTTAATATGTCTAAATTATGATCAGTGGGGTAGGGTGGGGATGCATTATGTATTACAGGGGGGAAATCTAGTAAAGAACAGAATGGTCAAAGCTTCTCAGGTGAGTGATGTGGCCCATGGGCCTCTTGTTTTAAAGATTAACTTTAAACTTTGGACAGATGGTTGGTGCAAGGGCTTCCAT